TAAAACCTCTAATCACCACGTATTGGGTGTCAAAAAATGGATAATTAAAATACCTTCATTCTGATACCAATTTCAATGAGTGATTTAGTGAAATATAAATTTCGAGCCAAAAAGGTGCTTTATTGTAAATATTCCTCTGACTTTTGCCAGTAGATATCGGTATATTGAACTTGACAAAAGTGATTAGACATTAAGTAGTGCAGAAAGTTCAAAGGATTTAGAGCGCTGATTGCAATTGATAAGTTCTTCTCCTGTACTCTGGGATGTTTCAGGAAATGTGGGCATTGGCAGTTGCCATGTCACTTATTGAAGTAGGATCCAGGGTGTGGAGCCCCCGGAAGCTCAGGGGTTTTAGAAATAAACATAATTCGAATACGATTGACAGGTGTTAATTTGAATGATTAAAGTGATGCCTCGACAAGTGACGATTAATTTGAATGCTAGTTGAGCAGTTTCTAAAGTAAATGACAGATCTTTGAAACCCTTCGTCCAAAATCCTAAATTAATACCAAAACGGGAAAATTGAATGATAATCGGCATGGCAAAGCCGATCTGCGCTAATTTAAATACAAAGTAAATGAATCCGAATAAACAAACTCGCGAATTTCGCCGGGAAATCCTAATATTTTCTATTGATAGAAATAATTTCGTTTTATTTTATGTCATGTATTTTTGTTCTAAATCAGAGTCTGTATGAATCTCAAAAGGTTGTAGCTTTTAAGTCTACCTACATTTGAATGGATGGGTTTTTTGTTGTTATTTTCTTCTTTGTTCTAAGAGAAGGAAGGACAAAAGGGCAAAAGAAAGAAAAAGAAAAAAGAAAGAAATACTGTTTGAGCTCTTAGAGTGTTAAATAGGATTTTTTTTCTCGCTCGTAAGTATCACAAAATAACAGGGGAACATTAAGGGGAAGGGGGGGGGGAGCACAATAACGCAGCATGAAAACACCATCAGTATGTCACAATAGGCCCTTTTACTAAAGCTGTTTTTACACTTCTTAGTTAACTCGACTAACTTAAATCTACAATCGGTTTAAGTTTCATTCCCCCCCCCATTTTTTCAAGCTGATAGTGCCCAGTAAAAGAGCTGTAGATGAAATTCCACATTCTTACATTTTGTCTTGAAGTCCCTCGAAGATGCATGATTGAAGTATTGACAAAGCACCCTTTGTCTCGTTACACATGGTTGTAAACCTAACTTAAATTCATATAAATTCTATTTTATCCCACTAACCACCTATGGTTTATGATAGTGATGACAAAAAAATACAAAATTTTATTGTAATGTAGGTCCAGTAATCTCCAATCAGAAATATATCTATGATCTCAATTTTCACCATTCAATTTGGAATTAGAAAAAAATCTTTGCGATCTCAGACTTCAAATATTCATAACTCAATCAGGCAATCCCTTATTATTGGCCTAACTGTTTTTCATGTTTGCACGATTAATGGGGTTTTCTGTGCTTCTACAACAATGACCTTATTACATGGGTAGGATTGCCCATCATAAATCTCCTATTTTCTTTTACCTTAAATAACTTAAACAGTCTATAATAATTTCCAAGGGCCGCATGTTCGCCTAGCCACTATATTATGATAATTTTTAATGTTTTTTTTTTAGCCTGGTTTGGTGGCAATATATATTCGAAGTTTTACTCAAGCTAACGGTTCTGTTTAAAATTTTGTGATGATCCTTCCGAGCACAACGGATAAGAGTGGTTTCTATGTGGGTGAATAAACGCAAAATGATAATATCCCTCATCCAATAATTTGTCCGTTTTTGAAGAAACAAATTCGATTTATACAGGGTGGCCCAAAAATCGGCACGGTCGATGTTCGATATTTTACCTGGCCAGAAATGATTTCTTGTTAGGCTTATCGATACTGTATTTAAACGCAGATTAAGCAAATGACTCCAAGATTATCCATTTTGGTCGAGTAGTTTTGCTACTACGCTTCTCCTGCTAAACAGTGTTATTTTCGAAATTCTGCTATTCAGGAGTGCTACGAACTGGGAAACCATGGAATTTGGGTTACTGCGCCAAGTGATCCCTAGTTTACAATTGGCCTGCGATTCCTCTACGGAGCCTGTATCCTGCCCGTATCCCTTTACCCTTGCGGCCTCCGTGTGGAGGCCTCGCGTTGATCGAGCAGCAAACGCACGATTTTCAGTGCTTATGAAGAAACAAATCGTACATAGATTGTAGACTCTTGGGACATTTGCACGGCCATCGCACAGCTATCGCAAGGTTGCTACTCGCTGCCTGTGCAGTAGCCGTGATATTGAGCAGCCGCAACCTCACAGCTCCCGCACCATGGCTGTGCAGCCTTGAGACGGGCCAAACAGTTTTCAGACGTGCTCCGTATAATTTTCGTGCGGAGGCTGCGGTGACTGCACGGCTACTGCACTGGAATTGCACGATTTCCGTACAATCTCCGAGCAGCCTCTGTACAGATTTGCCGCGGCCTGCCCCCGAGGGCCAATACAAGAAATGGCAGGATGCTCGTAGATAATGTAAACACAAACATCGTAGCCCTTAGCCTCCTACGATAATAATAATAATAATAATAATAATATTTAATTGTTATATAGCGCTTATTACAAATATCTCTAAGCGCTTTAACCCTGTCATTGGATTCAGTGCTTGCCCGCACACACTGTGTACACAATCTCCACTCCCTGGGGAGCATTCCAGCCAGTCGTTACATGACGCTCAAAAACTGTTTGACCAACAATGACGGTCGCATTCTACCGGGTCCCCTTTTAACACCTGGGTGGAGAGTAGCAAGTGCAGGTTAATATCTTGCCATAGGATATTAGTGCCGTGTCGGGATTCGAACCCTCGACCTTCGCAACTCCAGTCAAGCGCCTTAAACCACTCGACCACGACACTCCCACGATGCCCCCAAAATCGCACGAAAATCGTAGACTAATTTATCGTACGGCGCCCGGCCGGGGCTAATGAGCGTTAATTGAGCAGGGGTAAAAAGGGCATATCATTATGCATTCGCACTTGCATTGTTCCATGGCTCAACGAGCGCAATTTCTCAAACACTGACTTTGGTCTTCTAGTATTTGCCCTAAAATGACACAATTTTCGAAAATGACATCGTTTTGTAAAAAGAAGCGTATAAGCAAAACTGCTTAACCCAAATCAATAATCTTGGTGTAATTTCCTTCAGTATTAGTACAGCGGATAAGCTCCCATATAATGAAAATTGTGCACTTTTTGAGAAAAGCATGAAGCTTCTAGGATAGTTAGTTCAAGATTCAAGATTATTTCACTGGTCCATGCATGCGAACATTACATACAAATTTAGCTTCCAATGGATCTTTTGACAGTGACAAATACAAATGATAGAAAATACAATATAACATTTAACAATAGAAAACGATGTACATAAATATGGATAAATATTTATAAATAATGTGCATTTGCCCCTCAGTTTCATATTGCCTACAATTAACATAAATTAAAAATGTCTCATAATATAATATTTCCCGTCAGCTCCCCCCCCCCCATCCGCTAGCACCCGATCCACAATCTCCAGGCATCCGTTTAATTGCACTTTAATAGGGACTTTTAGAATGACTGGACGAGAACACGACGAACGCCGACTTATCATGCGTGTCAACGTACTTAACTGCCCATGTTGACTACAATAAGAAATCTTTTAGATTGCACTCGACGATATACATGCATGCAGGAAGTAATACTATGATCATCACGGACAAAGAAAGAGGACAAAATATACAGTTCCTCATTCTACCCTCAACAAAAGAACATCCCTTCTATTGTGTAAAAATGTCTAGAACAGGTGAATATGCATGTGACACCTGTTCTACACATTTTTACATAATAGCAGGGAAGGGATGTTCCCTTGTCTACCTGAGGAACTGTATATTTTATGCGCACGCGGCATACTAGTACCTTGAGCATGTAAAGGCGCTATACAAATACCAATATGTATGTATGTACTAGATTTAGGAAAATCAAGGTTGACGCATTCTCGATCGCCGACTGAGACGACGTAACGCATGCGCAGTGCCTTAAAATGACGTCACACGTTGCAGTCAAAGCTGTAGACGTGCAAATCTAAAAGTCCCTAATAGCAGCTATTGAAGTGCAACCAGACGGATAGCTATCGAAAACAACAATAACAATTTCAAATCCAGTAGGAAATATATGATCATGAAGAAAGGTAAATAGCCTTTAATATGTATATAGTAATCGCGTAATAGTTGAATTATACACATGTATGGAGTTGGGGATGAATGAATTACGTGAACGTGAAAGGCGGGTACGGGGAGGGCACAGTCTTATTCAAGAACGGTTGAACATGAAACAATCATTGAGAAGATGAGTATTGTCTGTCATTATAACTTTAACTTTTGTAAGTAGGCGTTTTTCATAAAGTGCTGGCAAAAAAAAAATGAAAAAATATTCTTTCACCATTATGACCAACAGTGAATATATGGCTAAAATATTAGTTTAGAATTATTCATAGAATTTACATATATTTTGACAGGACCTGACCGTGTTGCAGTTGTTGTTCACTCCATGACGAGCTTCAATTCTAACACCAAGATGGCACTAATGATGGTCTTCAAGAATTCCCAGCCAACCACCTTCCAGTGCTCTAAATGCGTCATTCAATGCAACAACCTAGCTGAAATGCCAGCTCAAGATCTCTCACGACTCACTGACTTCCTCGGGAAGGTGCCATATCATCCCCTACCCATCCCTGAATATGGGGCACATTCAACCCTGACCACAACGCCCTCCGCGGATAAAATGCATAGAATCGGAACTGGTGACAATCCGCAAAGCATACCTGTTGCTTGTGCTAAAAGTGTTACCAAAGGAGAGAAAAGTATGAGTTCTCCTGACACCAGTTCCATTTCTCAAACAGAGGTTGGAAGTTCGAAAAAATACTCAGCATTTTTGATTGATAATAGTTCACATGATAAGCTTTTAAGGGATGGTCTTGGTTCAAACGTTGCTCCGACGCAACCTTCTTACAGCCAAGCTTCGATGACCAGCACATCATCCGCCTGTATGGAACATGGTAACCTTCAGAGCATAGCTTCTATTACGTCGCAACTTGGCTCATTCTCTTCCGACACCACACACGTCTCACAGGCCTCGTCGAAAGTCGACACCTCACCTTATAGATATGTCACCCAAGACAAAGTGATTGACACAACCTACCCCATAGCCTTGGTTGACCTTTCTTCAGCAAATCAACCTGAAAAATTGACGGATGATCTACAAAGACAACTTCCCGGAAAGGCAGTCATGTTATTTAAAGACATACACGATCTGGCAGGCAACTGGCACTTGTTTGAAACCATTCTTGTGGACTTTGGACCGGTACAGGAAGCTGCATCTAACAGTTCGGATGAATACAAGGGCACCTTGCATATTTATGGGAAATGCCGAAAAGAGATGCGTAGGTGTTACCTTTTTAGTTTTAGGCTAATCTCATTACACTCATTACATGGGAAAGTCAAAATGTCCCCGTAATGTAACGCCTACACAAGTTTTCGAAGTTGACAAACAAAATAATAGTAAAAATATTTATTTTCTACCAAACTTGGAAGATCTTTTGTTGTGGGGGACATAATGATATGGTTTTCATAACACAATGTTGCCCATGAAGTTGGAAAAATTGCTCTTACCCTTTTTCATGAAATGGTGGTGACAATATAGTATATTCTTGATAGATTAAGTTTATATCTTCCCAGAATTTAGCTGATCAATCTGAAGGGTCATCAAGATTGATCAAGAAAGTTATGAGAAAACACAAATATATATAGAATAATCCATATTGTCACAATATTTACATGCACTATATAGGCAAAAGTAATGTATATTTTTTGAGTATTGCCCCAATAAAGAAGGCGCTTAGAAGAAACATAAATGAGAATACAATAAAAATCTACATGGACATAACTGATCCATTGACCATTTTGATATTATGTGATTCACCTAGATTTGGTGAACTCACATTTCAATCATTCATAACATTCATAAGTGGCCCAAACATTATGGAGCGTGTGTGCAGTGCTTTGTAACCGCAAGGAAAAGGCGCTATATCAAATATCTTTTGGATTGGAATGGGTTGGATTGGAATGTCCTTATTAGTTGTCCGATTTATCAAAAACCTTCGCAAATCAATTTTCCTTATTTAACGAGTGGAAATGTAAGAGAACATTTATAATTTGAATGTTTCAGTGAGCTCTCAATCTGCAATTAATGACATGATGATCGCACCTCTACGTTAATTGAGTTGATTAACATAAACTTATGTAGTGCAAAAGTTGTTCTATAGAATCCCATTAGTATTTCTAAACATCTTTTATAACAACCACTTTAAAAGAACGTGCTCTTATTTGTTAAAAAAACTCATTCTGAAACTTTCACATGTTTCTTGAGATTTGTGAAGGATATTCGAAGGATCTACTAAAAAATAAATTGACTTTCGATAGGGTATTACAATTTTATCCGTTGGATAAGCTTGTAGCAAGGGGTCTAATTATTACTTATCTCAATCTAACTACTCTTTCAGTGGTACCCCAGAATTTGGCCCAGTTGATGCTTGCTCCGGCAAATACTCCTTCAGACCCTAATCGTGCTTCAGGTGAGTCATTTTCTAGGTAGTTACTGAATCTACTACAGCTTCTATTTTACACCTTTTTTCCATTTACTTTATAGGTGAATATTTGTAGAGTTTTACATACTGTGTTGTGTGCGCAAATGTCATACAATATGAACTGGAGATATCTGGGAGAAATTGTGCAAATCGCATTCATTGTTATTTACATTATTGCTACCGCACTACCAAGCTGGATTATATCTTCATCCAGTCCAAGTTTTCTATGTAGATATGTAATGAACATCTGAGAAAAAATAAAAATAAACATGTATTCAATTATCCTTGCCGATATAGCACATTAAAGGTTTCTTAAAATTTATTCCTGTTTTGTTTTTGTTTACAGATACCATGAGCCAGTTTCCAAAGCTATACGGAGTCCCTGTTTTCCAGTACAGCAGTGAACCCTGCAGACCATCTCTCTTTGACGACGACACGAAAAATCAACTGGTTTCCTTCCTTCTCGATAGCTGCGAAAGATACCACACAGCTGTCAATAAAAAAAGACCTGGCGTCATGGAGAGGGTTCAGGGTTTTTTGTTACATCTCTTCGAAAGCAGCTAAGCTGGAGAAATTTGGGGACAGGCCTATACCTAAATACAGTCACTAAGTCTTTAATTGGCAATATTTGGAAGACTAGCAAGAGATTGACGTGATCATGGCGCCTTGATCATGTGGAAGGCAGTTGTAGACCTAAGGAAAGTTTTTCGATTAAACCAGGCAGCAACGTAGGCCCTATATATTACTTGCACTAGTTATGGATTCCGTACATGCATGGTTTTTGTTTAATTGAATACCATCAAGATTGTTAGTAAATAACTTAATTGATCTCTACACGACATGTGACAACAAGCAGAAGCAAGTATATATGTGTGTGTGTGTATATATATATATATATACGTATACATACATTATGTGTGTGATGTTATCAGGGGCGGCGATTTCTTTTCGTGACCCGGTGACGAAATGCGAAGGACGAGGGAGTAATGAGCAAACACGTTTGGGTTGGGGGGGGGGGGCAAACAAAAATCCGCATCCCAACCACTCTGACATGTTACATGCTGTCTACTCGGAAAGTGTGTGTGTGGGGGGGGGGGGGGGGGCTAAGTATTTACGGTCAGGTAGAGCAAAGTGAGCGAAGCAAGTGGAACATAAATTGGCCAAGGGTCCAGGGGCAAAGACCCGCCCCATGAAGCTTAGGGGTTTTAGGTAATTAATTACGATCAGATGAGCATCCAGGAGTCCGCCTTAGGGCCCCTGGTAGGGTAATTGGGGTGGAGCTTCCGGAAGCTCAGGGGTTTTAGGCAGTTAATTACGGTCAGATGAGCATATTTTGATACCTTATTTGTGACAATGGCAGGGCACTGATTGGAGTGGATTAAGGTCAGGGGTTTTAGGCATTAAATTACGACCAGATGAGCATCCAGGGGCCGCCATAGGGCCCTTGGTGGGATCCAGAGTCCAGGGTTCAGAGCCTTCCTATACTCAGGGTAAAATCATGCCATTTCAGCAACATTTGTAAATCACTGGTTTTTATTGGGGGGGGGGGGGGTGGGGGTAACTGCCCCCCTCAACAGTACGCCAGTGCGAGGGAGCAAAGTGAACGAGAGGGGTGAACGTGACGGAAGTGACTACCCCCTCACAGATTTGTGAGGTTTTGTTGTATTACAAAATTAAATTCCTTAACAAAACTATAGAGAAAAACAAGTAATATACTTTTTTCACACTTCACTTTTTTACAATAATTAACTTGTACATTTTGAAGGATGTTATGTGGGGGAGCGAGAAGATTTTTGCATTTGTATTTGTCTAAATGCTGCACTCTTGGGCTCTCCAGGTTTTAGTCAGTATTTGCTATACATTTTTTGTTCTGCACTTTTTCAAATTTTCCGGGTGAACGATCCCCCCTTAAAAAAAAATGAGGGGGGACGTGTCCCCCCCCCCCCCCCCGAGTTCATCGCCCCTGGCTGTAAATATATTTCATGTGTTGGAAAATGTTTAAAATAAAAATGAAAATCCCTGCGAGGTTCAGACCAACTGTTTCTGAATAAACACACATTTGGGAAGTCTTCTTCCTTCTTCAGGTAATGAACATGCAGACTTTATCATGAGAGAACAATAACAACATCAAAATATAAGAGATTGATTAATTTGTGTTCTTGATCAATAAACAGTTGGAAATTAGCATGAAACTAACATCCTTTGTATAAATATACATGTATGTATGGATGTATTTACATTATATACGTAGCGCTATGCTTTATGTCATTATTTCCTCCAACAGTTACTCAAAAAGCTTATTAACACCCCTGACTTATGTTTGAACTATAAACTTACAGGCTGGTTTCTTCTGAAGTGGACTTAATTTAGTCCATGGTTTAATACGCCGACTTTGTATGGAATGCGAAGTGTCCATATGAATATGTTTTTTAATAATTTAATCTGTCACTAATTCAAAATAAAATGTCTCCATAATAGAAAGATTTTGTAATAACATAGTTATTTAAAACAATATAATTATGAAATAATTATGTTGTCATGGTAATTTAGTGACATATCAAATAATTCCAAAATATATTCATATTGACACTTGGCATTCCATACTTAGTCGGAGGATTAAAACCGTGGACTGAATTTAGTCCACTTTCGAGAATACCACCCACACTCTCTAGCTTTCCAACCACAATAGTCAACCCGAGAGGGTGCGATATTAATATAGAAGTCAGAGCCATCAGCAAACGTTTGGCCAAGGGATTTGTATTTCCCCAACAAAGCAGCATCCGTCATGTTATGTCTAACTACAACCGCGTCGGCCAAACTCTGAATATAGATGGCTCTCGTGAAAGTGTTTGTTGTATACGGTGAATTTTAAACAAGTCACGAAACTGCGGAAAGTCTTGACATACCGTTGAACCACCAATATTTGAGTCATAAAAGTCTATTATGTTCTTAAATACAAAAAGGTCTTGTCAAGAGGCTAGTCTTAAATAATTACTCTGACTCTTCTTTCATCTCCAAATGAATTACTCCTGTATCTTCGAGAATGACACCAGTCCCCCCTTTTTTTACATTCTCCCCCCCCCCCCCCTCTCTCTCTATCTGTCCTAACCACTTACTGAGATTGAACGTCCAACCACCCTTTCTTACCAAAGTCTGCATCATCAAACGGCAGGGTAAATTTTAATCATGAATGTTGTATATATGATGATAATATGACTACTCTACACTGATGTATTTTTACCTCGTATAATACAGATGGTGATTACCTAGACCTTCGAGAAAAATCAACATAAGGCAATTTCAATAGCCTTCGCGTCACTGAAATGTTCAAACATGATTGTGACATAAATAATCCGATTATGTTTCTATAGTCTTTGAGTTGATTTCTTGAAAGTCTTTGCGATTGAGTTTGATATAATTCTTTTAAGCTAAATGACAAATCCACTAAAAATTGTTTACCTGGTACAGGCTTTACTCGAAAGTTACTAATGTGATTTTTGTTTTTGTTTAAAGTATGAGAAACTACTTTAGTCAAGCAGTTATGTACATATTCTAATCGGGATATTTTATAGACCGTATGTAATATTTCATTATATAAATAACATTTCCTTTTGTTTGTTGGTTGGTTCGATTTATATATAGGCAACAGATTACAATTGTAATATTCATAACTTCTGCGTAAACGTTTAAATATCAATTACTTTCATTACTTCTTTAGTATTGATTTAAAACACCTTTGTTTGCTTGTTTCCCTTTTTTAAAATTTAAGTGTGGATAGATTAATGCTCTGCTGTGGTATGTGCAGTACGCAAAAGCCAATAGGATAGATATATAACATAGTAGCAGTCAGGCGCGTACGCAGGATTTTTTCAAGGGGGGGGGGGGGGGGTTAACATTTATAAATCGGGCCGAAAATTTCGCAACGACTCAGCCGACCGCTGAATAAGCGGGGGAGGGGGGGGGGGGGGGGTACATGATACATACTATGCTCATTAACTAGGGGACCTACGCCCTTGAGTCATAAATGACGGTAATGAGGATTAGTGCCCCACAAAAGGGCACTAATATAGCACATCGACACGGTTTTGATCCTGGGGCCTCATAGTTACGAGGCCATTGCTTTGTCACTGAACCATGAATCTACGCAGCGGGGGCTAGGGTAGGGGGCAGTTTCCATAAATAAAATAAAAAACAGAAAAAGCAATAAATTTTCAATAATTTATTACATTTTACCCCGGTTCCCAACATAAACAAATCTTTTGTGTGCCCATGCCTTGAGCCATAATGCATGGCCGTCCAGAGGATTTGTTTATGTTGGGGACCGGGGTAAAATGCAATAAATTATTAAAGATTTATTGCATTTTCTGTGCTTTTGTTATTTATGGAAACTGCCCCCTACCCTATACCCCGCTGCGTACAGTTCAGTGACAAAACAATGGCCTCGTAACTGTGAGGCCCCAGGATCAAAACCGTGACGATGTGCTATATCACTGCCCTTTTGTGGGGCATTAATCCTCATTACTGTCATTTATCACTTAAGAGCGTAGGTCTCCTAGTTGATAAGCATAGTAGCATACAGATGCCTCAGCAGTCACGCAAAACACACATTGGCAAATTAGTTTTCAATAAAATTCGAGAATGTATACTATTATCTAGATCTATTATTTTTAAATTATTTTTAAAATAATTCCATAAATTGGGGCAAAAAAAAAATATTCCACCTTTATGAGCGACAGTGTATATGAATCAAAACGACAAAACTGTTATGAAAACAAAAGTAGATGGTGAACTTTTTAAAAATAGACGGTCAAAAGTGAAAAAAATTATGAGAAATTTCGCTCATGGTATTTTGATTTGAGCCAAGGTAATCCCTTTGCAACAAATGTTAAGAAAGGAAATTGATATCCCAAATAGGTTATCAGAAGTAAACAAAATTCCGATATTAGAGAGAGTCTCCCATATTTTGACCGTGTAGTACTACATTACTTATAAAAAGATGTACCGATTTAAAAAAAAAAATTTGTACTCGGAGATGTTCAGGTCTAATCTCCAACATAGAAACGTCAAATATGTAATGAATTTCGATTTTCTGTACAGAAATATTTATTGTTCTTAAAGTCATGGGAATATAAATTATCATAGAATGTTATGAAAAATGTATAACAACAAATCCTACCTAAATCATGGAAAGTTACAGGCTGAAATTGATTGTAGGTGTTGTCCATGTGTTGTTTTGGCCATTGGCGTAGCTTTGGGGGTACGTGCCCCCCCCCCCCAAAAAAAAAAAGAAGAAGAAGAAAAGAGGGACAAAAAAGGGAGAACAAAGGGAAAGATGAAGGAAAAGGTAAATGAACGTGAGAAAATATAAAGAGATATAGCTTTGCTCAAAAATGCTTTCCAAAGATTATTCTGTAGGTTTTCTACCCCGATTTGTCAACGTTGCATCCGATTTAACGATGCGATCATTCAATTTCGAGCGAATTGGAGTGATTACCGAGATTAACTTTCAAAAAGCTTACTAGTTCATTCAATATACTTGTATTGGAATGCGATTTCATGATTTTCTCACATAAACGGATAAAAAGCAAGTTCAAATTAAAAAATGCACGTAAATGCATTATAAACGTTAAGGTATTCAAATTACCGAATACGCAATCATTTATAGCATTTGGGCAGTGTTTTTTTTTTTTTTGGTTTACTGTTTATGTTCTAGATAATCTGCTTCTATTTGAAATAATTATGCAAACTGTATGTACCTTGAAATCGGACCTTTGCCTGCGTTATATTGAAGTAACTAATTCCTCTAACAAACCGTCATCGAAGCAAGAGCTCGTATAACTCCACTTTCATACGCATACATTCATTTATAAATGACTATGGCGGCGGCTCGAGGAGAGTACATGAATATCTCCAATACGAACAGAGTTAGGTTGGCTGAAGCATTTGACAACCAGCCAGCAATAAAGCTCGTGAAACTTGCAACATTAAAATGAAACTATATAATAAAAAAATAAAAACAAGTAAATATGACGTGAAAGATTACGGAAAGAATTATATAGAACTACAAAACTTTTTTATGTTAATTTAATTCGAACGTTCAAAGTGCGAAGTTGTGTGCCTATAATTGAAATTGAAATTGGTTTTAAGGACGAAATTTAACGTTTTTCAAGCTGGTGCGATGTTTATTGTTCGTAAGTTTGTCTGTTAGAGAGACTATAATCTCGTTATAATGCCGACACTACTACTAATAATAGTAATATTGATAATGATGATAGTAATAATAATTACAATGTTATATTGTTCAAGTAATTACTCTGGATAAAGAAAGAAATATTGTTAACAATGTAAATTCAGAGAAAATATCTATATAATTAGACCGTTAAGGTGCTAGTGTTTATTTTTTTCTATATACTCGTTTGATGTTGTATGTATCATGTCAAATTTTATTTATTTTTCTCTGTGAGTAATACATGTAAACACAACGAATTTCTTTTTGGACCAATAAACATTGAATTGAACATTTAGTTATTATTAATATTCTTTTAACAAAGTAAATCATCGGTATCGAGAAGTGTCTTAGGAGAAAAGACACTTGATTGTCATTCTTCTTTGTGTTATTGATTTTGGATAGGATCAGAAAATGGGCATAGAGAATTAAAGATCATCTCCATCACGGTTCATTGAGATTTAAAAAAAAGAAGAAAATCAAATAACCTCCCAAAACTCCTTAAAATCGAATAAGTTTCCTTGAGCCTCTATTTATCATCTCATTGATTATTGTATAATTGTCATGAGTGTTCTCGTAAAATACCCATGCTTAACAAATTTCATGGTAGATTCAAGTTGTTTACTTTATACGCTCTCAAAATTGATGGTTAGAGCAATAATGATAGTTATGATAATGATGATGAATGTAATACTAATTTCAGGATCGATAAAGTAACAGTAATAAAACAGTGTTTCTTGAATAACCTATTGATTATCAAATAAATTTGATTGTAGAGTCTGGGGCATGCAAATACCAGAGGCTTACGTAGGTGTTTAAGCAAGCAGTTCTGCCGACCTTGCATTTTTGCAATTGCCTGTAGATACATACTTGCGAAAATACCGTTGGCTATTGGGTAACAAGTAAAGGTTTGTAAGGTTGAAATCACAGATACTAACAAAATGCATAGTTTATCTCACATCCTAATCCTATTCTACTTATAAATCAATACGTACACAAACGTGTCAAACTCTATACAGTGTGAGTCAAAAAAGTGTACTCCTAGAAAAATCGCTAATTATTATTTATTAAAAAAAAAAATCATCTATAGACAGTAAATTATTAAATATCTTATGAAAGGGTGTTTATCCCAAATGATTTAGTATCAATGTCATGTGTTATGTGTTCACGCTTAGATGAACAGGGGACATTGTTTGCAAGATTGCAAAAATTGACTTCCGCCAAAGTTGCTTATGTAATGTTTGAATAAAACGATTGGGATTTGGGAATTAATTCCGGTAGTCTTTGCAGATCCAAATAACATCCTAACAAATTTAATTATGCCACACATATCACATATCAAAGAACATTTGTGCGTGTGTGTGTGTCTATGTGTGCGACCTTGCTTCTGCAAAAAGCATATGCAATGCATCTCGTTTGATACATTCAATTCATTCTCTCACTTTAATACTTTTGCGCAAGTCGATTCTTGCATACGCTTTAACTTCTGGTCTTTAGGTCCTAACAATAACACAGAATTCGGTGAATACGCGCCTCATTCGGATTGCACCGTCAGGGTTTTTTTTTTTTTTGGGGGGGGGGGGGTGTCTGAACGAGCCTTAAAAATGGGCCATCTTTATACAGAGTGGCTTGGTTTCAGTTTGTCACTCACAACAAGGCGCAATTTTTTGTTTGTGCTTTTGTATGTGGTCGTTAAAGGGATCGTTTAACAATATTAAATCTGAGATACACGACCCTACGTGTTATCCGTGTCTGTGATATGGTGAAATATTGAAGCCCTAAAAAATTGCGCTTCAAAATGATCAAGAAGTGCCTCAAAAAAGTAAAAATCTTTGAGTGACCGGTTTTTACCATACTTGTTTTCCTCCATAGACTGTAGTGTTATGAAAACCGTCAGGCGTAATTCCAATCATAAATATCTTGATAATCAGACAGGTGATCGGTTGTAAAAGTCATGAGGTTCCTGACTAACCTAAAGGTTTATAATTATCATTGCATTATTAGCTATATCCAGAATTTTGTTTCAGAATCTGAGACAAAGTTACCGGATCCCTTTAAATGGTACATCGTGCGCCCCCTCTTACCCCCCCCCCCCTTTGGCACAGTCATGAAAAAAGACATTACCCCCCCCCCCCAGATCAACAGGGCTTAGCGTGTTTATTGAAATTTGAAAGGTTCAACCATCACATTAAGCAACTTTGGCACAAGTCGATTTTTACACTCTCGCAAACAATGCCTCCTGTTCATCCAAGCGTAAACACATACCACACAAAAATGATGATAAAGGATTTGGGATAAAACACTCTTTCATAAGTTGTATGATAATTTACTGTTCATAGATTATTTCTAAAATAATTAGCAATTTTCTAGGTGTAATTTTTTTTTTGACTCACACGGTAAATGCTCTTGTTCTGTTGGAAGGGCGCCATTTAATATTATACTTGACCATTTCTCATAAATTGAAATATAGGGATGGCTAAATATTATTTACACAAAATATATATTGAAATATAAATATGCTGGCACGAATGAAGTGTTTGCAAGCCGAAGGCGTCGATGCGAATGTACAGACAATCTACCCCAAAATTTACAGTACTAAAAATTATATAGTGAATAAACTGAGCCTTGTTTTAAAATGTTAGGTTTATATCTGATCTGAGGGGTTGTTACAATTTGACCCCCAAAATGCCGGGTTATTTTGGTACTCTATTAGCTAAGGGGGGAGGAGGAGATGCTCCCTTGGAATGTCGGCCATGAAATGACGAACAATTCTTAAAATAAAATTGAAAGAATAAGTCCATGACATCTCATATCTATGTCTCAAATGTTTTTTTTTAATATTATAATTAATAAAATGTTTACACACCTGCGAAGTGACAATTCTACATTGTTTACAAAACATAATATATGGATACATTTTGGCCCCGTGCACGCAGCGATATTTGACGCTACGCAGTTACTCATAGTACCAAGGGTCGAAATAACATACATTTCGTAACAAAAGATAAATTCTGCCCGGCCCTTTTAAGGTTACCCCCCTTACCAATTGAATCATTGTATTTAAATAGTCAGAATGCAAATTGCATACATTATATGATGCTCTTGACTAACAGCATATGACATTTACAATTTGCTTACTGGCTATTGTAATACAAATATTTGCAACAGGAGAATTAAATAATTCTCACCAAGGCACTTCACAAGGATGAATGCATTACATTTCATTACATTACGAATCTGGCCTGTTTTCGTCAATCTCGTTATTGTGTTTCGATACACTATGAACATGACGGACAAAGAGGACAAAATATACAGTTCCTCAGGTAGACAAAAGAACATCCCTTCCTTGCTATTATGTAAAAATGTGTAGAACAGGTTTCACATGCATATTCACCTGTTCTCCTCATTTTTACATTATAGCAGTGAAGGGATGTTCTTTTGTTGAGGGTAGAATGAGGAACTTTATATTTTGTCCTCTTTATTTGTCCGTCATATTCATAGTGATAGTAAATTGTTACAGGTTAATCCAAGGAAAGTTCAAGCCAAATTCCTTTCTCAGTTCCCGATTGTGCGGGCGATAGAAATCGTAAAGCTTTTGGACAAGACCGTCGGCAATCTCGGGATGTTTCCTACCCTTCTGCGAATTGAGACAATTCACATCGGGTCTGCTCTCAATATTTGCACAATAAAAATGTTTCTTTTCGTTATACTTAAAGTGAAATCTTTGGAAAAATGGCGGCAGCTCCAAGAAGCGTTCCACTTTGACCAAAATTGGAAAAGGGTCTTTGCTGAACGCGTTACCGTCTATGATTAGAACCCGTTCCTCAGGTATTTGCTGATACAAGGATTGTAAATCTATGGCATACAATCCAAGACGAACGATGGATGCGAAAGGGTTCACGTGGCCCAATTCGTCCAGTACGGTAGCGTTCAGAGTGCCTTTAAAACCCTCGAGTTCTTCAAACTTTTTTCGCTCTTCCCCATGAAAGCGATCAACGATGGTTGACGTATGCACGAAATCAGACACAAGGCGTTGCACGGGATCGCGGAGCATCAAAATAAGTTTGATATCAGCGGGGAGATGGTTCCGCAACATCAGCAACAACTGTGGCTGCATGTCGTTAAAGAGACCTGGGTATCCCGTGACAGGCATTTGCATGGAGGATGTCATGCGAAAAGTCTCCCTCCATTCGGCCATTGTTGCATCAGTGATGTCCGGACCAGGTTGGATAGACGTTGAGAACGAAACCTTGGGGTGAAGTCCAAGATACCTAGCCATTGCAGTTGTCCCGCCTTTCTTTACACCAATGACAAGCGCATGTGGCATTCGCTTTTTGCAGTTCCTGGCGCTAAGGTCCGCTTGAGGCAGTAGTTCTTCAGGGTGGTATCTTAGAAACCTGTAGCAGGTAGTTTGGTTGCCCTTGGACAATCCTTGATGATCTCGCCTCCGGAGGAAAGGCGATAGAAACCTGAGCGAGGCAAAGCTTTCTTCGTCATGGCCTCTCCAGTCGTTCTCTTCGGCAGGGTTATGCAGCAATATGATAAGCAGCATTATGGTGAGAAAGCAACTGATTGTGAAAAGAGTGTTCCTCTGGGCTCTTCTCATAGTGCTTGGAGATCTTGAAAGAATGCCCGTTTAAAACTACTTTTTGGCACACCACGGTTCGACCTCTTCCTTTTCATTCAAATCTGTTCGGCATTGCTTTCACTGGAGTTGAGATTAGAAGCCTGATACTTAAGCAATCTCAAAACTTAAACAAAAATCTTTCTGGATAGATCTAATCAAATCTTCTCCGATCGGTCTGATCAGTCTTCGAGATGGCTTTTTTTTTTTTTTTTACTGAATCTAGACAATACCTGCTCGCACGAATGACAACAAATATATCATCGGTGTCCTCTTAGATGCAGTGTCGGCATCTGCAATCCTAAAACACTGGTTCCTTTAACAGCTCACTTAGCTTGTTTTCGAAAAGATTTTCAGCATCTGAAAAAGACAAAGTAAGAGAAAGGTAGTGAGAGAAAGGTAGAGAGAGAGAGAGAGCGGGATTTTTATTGAATGTTTTATGTGGTTCGACTTTTGCTCCTGCGACATTTAATCATGCATATACGTCAAAGGTTTGGGGTGAGGATTGCAATTGAGTTTGAAGTTCAGTTTAGGAGGGTTGGGATTGGTAAGGTCCAGTATTTGGTTTAGATTGAAGTCTGGAACTCGGTTAGCAGTGGTTAGTGTAGAAGTTGCCGCCAGGGCATGTGTCATACTCGACCAGATTCCAGTCTTTTAAAAAAAAATTCTTTGAGTGCAAATTCACCATTCCACACGAATTCACCTACGCGAAAGGGGTCTGTCAATCGTGCGTAATTCTGCTGTACATCAGGGACTTTTAGATTCGCACGAAGACAAGAGGTCTATGCTACGATCGACGTCCTTTTAAAGCACTGCCGTGAATGGAAGTACCACGTATCAGTCCACGCAAATCTAAAAGTCCCTACTATAGCAAGTGTGTGAGCGGGCGCGCACGTCGCAAAGACGAAAGGATTAGAGAACCTTTTTCCATGCTCTTTAAAGGTACAATGTCCCTTTTGCAGCCAACCTCAAATGCTGTAGAACTTTGCAGGAATTATGAATATGTCATGTATGTCTTATCTGTGAAATTTAAACGTTAGCAGTGTCCTCATATTCAAATTACGCAAGGAAACCCGTTTACTTGCTAGACTTCACTGTCAGACACTATTGAGTGACTGACTGGCTTGTTTTTCTTCTTTGGTAATAACAAACATGAAAAGAGTTGTAAAGGGTACATGAGCATTTGTCTACATCAATAACCCACTTCTTGTAATGGCCAAAATTAAACTGATTGAATCTTTGCGCAGCATAAAACGTATGACCATTCGGTACAATTATCTGAAAATCAAGACTATTACTTTTGGGTTCTATAGCCCTAAAGTCGATTTGACAACTAGTAGTCGTTATTTTCCCACTTGAAGACATTTTCAAGCCCCACCTTTTTTCGGGAAGTTCTAAATTAGTATTATCTTTCAAATGTCGTTGGAATTTAACTTTTTCATTTTTTAGCCTGCAAATGGGACATAGTACCTTTAAAAGGGCAATCAACATGATTATACGTTTGTTTTCATACAAGGAGAAAAATGAGAAGAACATATCAGTTGAGGTTTGAGAAAAGTCGGACAATGAATAAAAAAGTTATGGATTTGTTTAGTTGTTGTTTAGTTATAACAAATCTATGTTGGATTATACAAAGTGTTATTGTTTTTCAAAAGGTGGCGTTTAAGAATAGAGAAAATGGCTTATGTTGCCTTCTCGAAAGTCTCTGCGATCGCGATTACAGGACCAGGGAAATAGCCTTTAACTAAGCTGATGTATAAAATAAAATGATGAATTCACCAATAACTCAAATTGACCAATAACTCAAATAAGCTATAACTCACTGATGAATAAATGAAAGTAATCAATTCACCAATAACTCCAATAAAATGATGAATTCACCAATAACTCAAATTTACCAATAACTCAAATAAGCTATAACTCACTGATGAATAAATGAAAGTAATCAATTCACCAATAACTCTAATAGACTATAACTAAGCTCATGAATAAATTAAAATGATAAATTCAACAATAACTCAAATTTACCAATAACTAAAATAACCTCTAACCAAGCTCATGAATGAATTAAAATGATCAATTCACCAACAATCCAATCGAAAAGATTTTCGACAAAGAAACACAAGGCACTGACCGTTGTCTCGGGAGTCAGCTATTGAAATGACACTGACATATTACGTAAGCCGGACACGCTTTCCATCATGTTCTACAGTGTGAGTCAAAAAAGGTTTACACCTAGAAAATTGCTAATTATTTTTAAAATCATTTATGTATAGTAAATTATTATACATCTTATGAAAGAGTGTTTTATCCCAAATCATTTAGTATCATCTTTGTGGGGTATATGTTCACGCTTGGATGAACAGGAGCCATTGTTTGCGAGAGTGCAAAAATCGACTTGCGCCAAAGTTGCTTATGTGATGTTTGAATAAAACAATTGGGATTTGGGTATTAATTCGGTCTTTGCAGATCCAAAAAACATCCATAACAAAATTAATCATGCCACACATATCAAATATAAAATATCAACGAACATTTTTGCGCGCGTGTGTGTGTGACTTTTTTTCTGCAAAAAGCATTATGCAATGCATTTTATTTGAGACATTCAAATCATTCTCTCCATCCGCTAATCCCAACATAATACATACTGTATGCATCACTTTGGCGCAATTCGATTTTTGCACTCTCGCAAACAATGCCTTCTGTTCATCCAAGCGTCAACACATACCACACAAAAATGATACCAAACGATTTGGGATAAAATACTCTTTTATAAGATATAATTATTTACCGTTCATAGATGATTTTTAAGATAATTAGCAATTTTCTAGGTGTAAACTTTTTTTGACTCACACGGTATAGGGAAAACAAGGTAATGAAATTGGCCTCAAGTTGATTCCCCGAAAGTCTTTGCGATCGCATGATATCATCTTTTCGGCGATTACTTACCTTGCGTCAATCTTTGTGGTGTCTGCGTCCTACAAATGACATAAATGTCGGATCATGGGTGATTATATCAGTGTTCGGTGAGATACAGTGCGGTGTGGTCTTCGCTCGGTTCCAATTCTGGAGAGATGTAAATGATGGATTTAATTTTAAATGATGTATTTATTCACTGTAGATTTACCCATAGTCACAAGAGAAACAGAAAGTTCACGATTCAATTGTATTAATATGTTAAAAAGATTTTCAATTAGACTCTTAAGCTAATTAAGAGGAAGAATTTAATTGCATAGTAGCCCAACTCAAGATACGGCTCTGTTAGTAATAAGCTATCAAGTCTTAGCAGTTGAGCCTTCGGGTGAAGCAGACTGTACAACTATTACCAATAAAGTTGAACCTTTCCAACGTATATACCTACATTTGCTCCTACAGTTGAGCGCTGTCAGAAATTGCAGTTGTACTAAACTTGCTTATGTATATATATATATATATATATATATATATATATTATACATGAGTACTGCACAGTGCGGAACACACCTGAGGACGAAAATTAGCCCCCTATGAGGACGGTGCGAACGCTGAAACACTAACGCAGTTGAGCCAATGCACGAGCTCTTTCTACTACTAGACCTTCGGAAAATAACAACAGCTCTGTCTCAGGCCTTTACCTGTAAGACCTTCAAAAAGTTCCAAGCGGAGTAATCATTTGACCCCATTCAACCCTGTGTAAACCATTCACCTAATAAATGTAAAGTTGGAGTATAGACAGGAATGGAGATTCTTATAAAATAAATAGACCCAATGACATGCTTACCATTGCCTACTGTAGGTTGAACGCATCCATGTTAAATGAAGAACGGCTAATAGTTGTAAAAGAACGGGTGGGATTATATCGATTTGTCCTCCGCATTTTGGCCTGTATCGACTTCAAAGTATTGTACGAGGGTTTCAACGGCACAAAGCAATGATTTAAGAAAGGATGGGAGCTTTAATCGGTATTCCCACAAAGCACGGTTTGGCCCTTTAGATATGCAAATGCCTATTGTGGCCTTGCCTAGATATTTCTTATGTTTATGATAATATGCCCATGGCCCTACATTTGCTGCAAGCCGCCGAAGATAGCGTTATCAATGAAATCGTCCAAGTTTAAGGGACAGTGAAAAGAAAAAAAAGGAAAGATATTGATTGAGATGAAAAGAAAGAAAGAAAGAGAGAGAGACAGAGAGAGTTAGATGGAAAAAGTTGAGAGAATGATGAGGCTCAGGACTCCCAACATTTTATAAATTTAGTCGTTGCTTATTTGTATAGGCTGATAACTAATTCGAAATTTGAAACACGATCGATGACAGTGACAGTATATGAACAAAGACAAGAACAACGACAAATACAAGGACAAATGCAATTACAAGGGCAGGGGCAGAAAAAAAGGCAAAGACGAAAACAAGGAGAAAGGTAAGTACAAAAACAAAGACTATAGGATAGGGCAAAGACGACAACAAGCAAAGAGATGTAATAAGGCTCTATGCGATTCTAACAGGAACATTGGAGTCCAGAACTTGGAGAAGATTTCCCCTTGAATTTGTTCTAAATACATGTAGCTGCCCTGGGTAAACAAAACATATTATTATTATTATTATTATTTTACCATGCAACACAAAATCTTGGGTTTTTGTCACATTGCGGTGTTTCGTCGGTACTTGCATAGCAACTGGCGGCAAACACGACGGCAAATCGAAATCGAAAAACCCACCTCTGGATTTTGGTTTTTAAAACGCCCGCCGAATGTTCACCTATTCTTTGCAGTGTAAAAAGAAAACTTTGGTGAGAAACCGGTTTGTTGTCACGTGACTCTCCTCGCATGCAAGGCATCGTAAAATAGCGCATGCGCACTGCTCACCCCAAAACGGGTATAAGAAAACTTTGACGGTTTTTCATGTGTTTTTCCATTAGTGTATAACCATGGACCTACTACCATCCTATATGTCTAGTCTGTTTTGTCCAATCCACCAATTAAGATATTCATTGTACGCTCAAGGTCAGATCCTCTTCTTCTGCAAAGTCCCGCATTAATTCGAAGAAGGCTCAACAAAATATAACTTTGTCTGGTCCCACTATTTGGAATAGTCAGTCATTAAACATTCGTTCCTGCTCCTCAGTCGCATTATTTAAATGAAATCTCAAGACTTATTTGTTTTCTTTGTAATTGTTTTTTTGACAAGGCGTTGTGTAGAGTTGTGTGGGATGTGAATGAGGTTGTGTACTGTATGAACCAGGCGTGGTGCACAACTGTTTGAATAACTTTACACAGCCTTACACAACAAATTTACAGAGTATGTACTCAGGCCCGTAGCCAGAGTTTGGTTTTTTTTTGTTTTTTTTTGTTGTTGTTGTTGTTGTTGTTGTTTTTTTTTTTTTTTGGGGGGGGCCTATACAAGTAATTGATCAACGTCCTGGGGAGGGGTCTAAAAAAGTTCAACCGGTCTTGGATTTTTTGTTTGTTGGTGGGGGGGGGGGGGGGCTCGTGCCCCCCCCTCCCCCCCCCCCCCCCCCCCCCGTGGCTACGTGCCTGTATGTACTTGGAGAGCAAAATAATTATTCTGTTTTATTTAGTAATGTAAAGCGCTTTGAGCATGTTTATCAAAAGGCGCTTTATAAACATCAGTATGTATGAATAGTTTTACAAATCGACGATGTTTCTCAATGGCCTTTTGGATTTGTAAATGAGCCTAATTTTTGGCATTTTTGTATTTAAACAAAATTAATCCTAGAGGTTGACGTGTTATTCTCTGGACTACTTTACACAAGCGCGCACTGGCGCTTGTTGAGAATTATTGTACTGCTGTACATGTGCGCACGCACCCATACATTTTTTCACGTCTAGAGTAGTGGATTTTGTCGACTATTTTCTTTTTCTTCGCAGACTAGATTTGATTGTACTTGGCTCGTTTTGAACTTCAGAATCCATGCAGGATCGTAAGTTTGATTGTTTGCATTAACCATTCTGCATTTATATATTTAAAGTATTCTCATGTCATGGAATAGGCCATTGGTAATTGAGTGTGTCCACACAGTCTAGGCGCTTGCGTGTGAAATCTGAAGAGGTAGCCATATATATATATATATATATACCATATCCATGGCCCTGGGAAGCGGGGGTGCTGGGGGTGCTGCAGCACCCCTGGAATTTTTCCAGGGGGGCGTAGCACCCCCTGCAAACAAATCTGGTATGATATATTTAATGGATATCACTATATGAGTCTTTGCGAAATTTTTGGGACCAAATTGAGATTGATAACGCACAGGAATAAGTTTTGTTAATTTGACATTATAGTGACATGGCAAGTGAGTATTTTAAATTAGTGAGTTATTTAACCTAATGTTGTGAGTAAATCATTCCATCTCAACTAGTGAGTAATGCTTCAATTACTCAGTCAGGTTAATAGGCTCAACACAGTTCATGTGATTATATGGCAAATTAGTAATCTAAATTGGTGAGTTATTTAACCAAATGTTGTGAGTAAATAGGTGCGCAGAAATAGGGCTCCCCATTATATACACACACAAAAAATGACACATCTGCACATACTTGTACAGGATATTCTATGCGAGCTGGGGATCTTACAAAGTAGTTAAAATGTGTATAGCCTTGCTTATGGGGCTCGCTATATTGCAGGACTTCGCCATGCACCCCACATACTTCGGTCGTGCACAAGATGAGCTATATGTCGAAAAGCTTTAATACTAACTCTAACCACATTTAGAGTGAACTCAACACAAGTGCAGACTGTAAGAACCAACTTAAAGAGAAGGTTGAGTTCTGGAAAGAGGTGAAAAATAATTTGTGAGCGTTATCGTTCTTATTATGTAAGTGTGGAAGAATATCATATAAGACATGTTCCCTGAATAGCAAAGCTCTTCAAATGCCTTCATATTCTAAATATGTCATGAAACATCGTAAACTCCGGGGTAGGATTTTTACGCCACGTGTTCGTGTGGTCCCATATACATCTTTCTGTGTACAGTGTTTGTAACTTTACCAAGACTTGGCCAAATTTCTTATCATTTTGATGATTCCAGAACCATGCAATACACATAAATAATTCTTATACGCAAGATGATCAACCTTTTCTGGTCGATTCCACACCGTTTCTTTCACAATGCAATCGCATGACCAGAACTCAACTTCATCTTTAAGGTTAGCAGCGGTGAGGCTAGCCGGTATCGGATCCAGTGCAGTGGAAATACCTAATTGCACAATCCTGCCTTCCGTGTGTGTGTGTTTTGGGTTTTACAGACGTGTATCAATCAGATATGATTATTAGCGCCTGGGGACCGACCTTTAAACGTCACCATCAGAAGGACGTGACTCAGTTTCGAACATCCGTCCTCGGCTGAATCAGTTTGTAACTTCCATTGTTAGCTGGATTACAGGCGCACGCCACAGCGCCTGGTTATCTTCCCTATACTTTCTTTTGTTTATTTGTTTATTTTTTTATTTGGACAAGTCATCGCCCTCCGCCTGCCAGATGGAGGGTTTTTTAGGCCGTTTTTTGGTTTTTCACTTCAGTAATATTTTTACTAACTGATTCAAAATTAAGAAAAATCAAATCTACTTACCAGGCGCGTACGCAGCGGGAGGGGGGGGGGGGGGAGGGGGGGGGGGCAGTCAGACCGCAGCCGGTGCGAAAACCCTCTATTTTATTCAGCACGTATGCAAGAATTTACGTGTCTTGCATGCGTAATGAGTAGTACGGACGGTCTTTCCGATCGGCAGTTTTTGCCTTTATAATTGTTCATTTCTCATGAAATTGGTCTTATTTTACAGATAAGAAGTTGCACTCTCTATGTACTTATAAGACAATCATATTAAATATTTTTGGGGAATTTTTTGGACCCAAAAAACAAAAAAATGTGCTCTTACCCCCCAACCGTAACTCGGCTAAGTGGGAGTAGCCTCTTGTCGATGCCCAGCGCTGTTGGAGTCCGTAAATTCTGTCGAGCTTGCACGGAGGGCCTCTTGACAACTGATCTGAATTATATATTCATGAGACCCGATTTCCTACTGAATTATGCATGTATAGAACCCAACGATTGTGTGTATGCATGTGTGTTTTGTAATTGCCAAACTAGGCTAGTCTGCAAGCACAGACCCTAATTTTACACTTCATCAAAAAATCATTGCGTCTTGAGAGAAGCCTAGCCCAGCTACCTACTGATATAGGTCAGGCGCAACTATTGTATATGGCCTATGGTAGTCTTATAGTGCAGACTCTCTTTAACGACTGACCAGGGTTTGTGCTTGCAGACTACAACTAGGCGGCCAGTCTCGCTCTCACCATGGACCTATTACGAATGGACATTCATTGTTTTCTTAACGAATTCATTGTGATTGTCTCCGTCAATGTCGTCTCTATAACATTCCGTACATGTTTCTTCACTTTGATCTCATGATCAAGATGCACGTTAATGAAATTGACTGCTGCTTTTACGAAATTGGCCGGGAAAACCTATAAATACGTTACGATCGGATACGTACGTACGATCACGAACGCGTACGAATATTCATCAGCGAAATATTTACACACATGCAAAGAGTAAGATAGCTCCTAAGACAAGTACAGCTTCGAAGAGACTGAGGTTGTTGGTTTTTTGACTCATCCAACGAATAAAGAGTCTGTGAGGTACATAATTATTACGGAGCGAAAAACCACTCTACACACTTGTGAATATTTTTACTCATTCGGTCACTAAAGTTGGAGAATACTCATCCAATACTAACTTACATGTACTTTAAAGCTAAAGACCAGTTATGGTCATGTAATTGCATTATGAAAGAAACGTTGTGAAATCGATCAGAAAAGGTTGATCATTTAGCATAGATGAACTGCAAGGTTCTGGAATCATCAAAATTATAAGAAATTTGGCCAAGTCTTCATAAAGTTAGAAGCACTGTACCCAGAAAGATGTATATGGGACTACACACACGTGCTCGACACGTGCATTTGTATCTCTCAACAGGTCAGAGATATACTAATTTACCAAATATATCAATTAGTAGGCGATTTCCTGTCAAAATTGTTATCGTCATGTAATATTCAAAACATATTATTTCACATGATTGGTAATAAGAGCTCCCATTTATTTTTTTGAAATTGGGGCGTTTCCAATACTGGTCTTTACCTTTAA